CACGCCGATATAAACATACTGCTTCACACGGCTTAAAGGCTTCATGAGGGCTGTATCAGGGCTTTGTAAAAGCCTTGTAAGGGTTCTAGAAAGGCTTCCAAGAATTGAGGCAGAAAGGAGGCCCATGCCGACCGCTGCACCGAAGCAGCAAGATCAGCTTCTGCCACGTGTCAACCCTAAGGGTCCCAGTATACCTAATCATCATAAACTCTCCCAAATATGAAGCTACACAACTACTATCCCAAATCTAAGTACCTAAACCCTAAACCCTAAAGCCTTGTTACCCTGTGGCTCCAAATAGCCCAACGTAGGTGTCATTTATAGACTTTAGGCCCCAAAGTAGGTGCCATTTGTTTACTTGGAGCCCCAGGGTTATTGGGGCCTATGGACCCTGATGGAAGCTTAAAGCACAAGCTAAAAAACCGGGAATCTCCCAGCCAAGGCGCTTTGTGGCTGGACCTCGGTTTCGGGTTTTGGGGTTAGTGGTTTAGGGGTTTCGGGTTTAGGGGTTTAGGGGTTAGGGGTTTTAGGGGTTTAGGGTTTAGGGTTTAGGGGTTTAGGGGTTTCGGGTTTTGGGGTTTAGGGTTGGAAAGCCCTGCTGATGCGATCGCAGGGCTTCAGCATCAATCATCAATCCCTAATTTTGTGAATCCCACATCTCCGTGTATTACACAGATGTGCAGGGAGTGAGAAGCCTGCAAAAGAAGCCATGGATATCCTTTACCACTGTAGGAGCCGTAATAATTCGAAAAGGGTTTTGGGGCTCATTATTCATAGTTATAGCACAAGGAACCGCAAAGTAGTAGTATTAGTAATTATTTAAGCCCCTAATACTACCAGGAAGGTCAAAGGACGAAGGGTAATTATAAAGGTTTCTCTAGGGGATCTATAAGGGATCTATATGAGGGTATAAGGGTTCCTATAAGGGTTCCTAGAAGGGACCTATATGAATAGGCTTCAGTATGGCTTAGGGTTTAAGCGGTGTGATTCTTCCACTGCATCCTTGACAGTTTGGGCTCTGGGGCACTGTGGCATGTGCAGAGCCACCTTTACAGCCAACGGCTATCAACTTTGTCTTGAACTACCTTCAACAAAAACGCGCTTTCTCTGCGGACTTTCTCAGGCTACTTTTGCCGCAACTGCCGGTTGAATGTAGTACGCTAGTACTGTATACGAGCTCAAGTGCACCTGCTGTTGCCCGCTCTTAACACCACCCCGCCTCCCACCTCCGCCTGACTGACTGGTGCTGAACCCAAGTGTCATGGCCCTAAACCCTAAACCGGCATCATTCTTGCTAGTTCGACTCATCTCTCGTAGATGCTAACATGAGTTCCATGGTCATGGACGACGGCGTCATTTTGACTACTCCTCCTGCTACTAATGGAGACTTCATATGGTCCTTAATCTCTAGCTCCGCCGAGTGAGTATAATTGCCATCTGCCGTGGTCCATCTAATGGTTCAACTTGCAATTTCAATTCTACCGTATAGCCTCTAGGTCTATGACATCAAACTTTCTTCCATAGTGGAAGCCTGAACGTGGACAGGTCCTTATACTTTCTACCCCAACAAGCCACAGAAACAAAAGGTTATATTTTCCGATTCCTACTAAACTATAAGAACCCAAAAGGTTTAAAGGTTAGGTATTGGGGATCTGAGTATAGGGTCCTTTACAAAACCCATGCGTCTCTGCCGTCATCTTGGGCTCCAGCAAAGCTTCCTGATCGGACTCGGAATCCCTTCGTCTCCTTGTGGGTGGTTGTCAAAATTAGGGTCCCTTTTGGGGTACCCTTATATAGTACGGCGCCTCATATTTAGGGGTACCCAAAACAGGGACCATAATTTTGACAACCACCCTTGTGGATCTTAGGGCTTGCCGGAGATTTTCGGGTCTAGTGACCGCACGAATAACCACATTTCCATCCCCTAAACGCTACACCCTACTGCATGCTTTTGCTTCACACGAACAAACAGATAATATTGCTGCCAGTCACAGGGCCACAATGCCTGCCACAATCCACTTGCTCCAGCATCGCCATCACCATCGCCATCATGAGCAAACTTAAAAGCAAGATCCTCCCATACCCAGAGACTCCAATATTCCTTAATTACGGAATATACCTTAAATCATAAATCAGATTAAGGATCCTACTATAATTTAAGGTATATTCCTTAATCAAGGGATATTGGAGTCTCCAGGTGCCCCTTTCATCTTCAGATGCAACAACCACGGCATCAGTAGGACTGTCACCACAACCAGCGTTTGTCACACTACTGCCAAACGACCTGGTGCGGTTAGCCCTGAACGGTTTCATCGCAAGTGTAGTAGTGGGAAGAATCGCTAGGTCATACTACACTGGGCCGTCGATGAAAAGATTGGCAGACTTCTTATGGGTATGTAAACAGATGGGTCTCAGCAGGGACTAGATTCCAGCCAACTACAAGAAAATCATGAACAGCTGCCCGCATGCAACGAAACAACACCACAAGTCCGTCGAGTCCGTGCATTCAACGATAGATTTCTGCCACTGTTGTCGCTTGCTTTGTCGGATGAGTGTCAATAGCCATCGTGCTGCAAGGCAAACGACGCAGTTCACACACTTTCGCAACAGTTCCCAAAGAGTCCGGAGCGCCTCATTGCCAGCATGATGGCCTCAGCTTGTGGGCAAACTTCGGCGCAGTGAGGCTGTAGCAGCTGTAGCAGTGCTTAAACATGCTTGAACACAAGTCTGCGAAGCCTGCCTGAGACCTCACAGCTACAGTCCGAAAGCGTACGCACATCCTGATGCTCCAAAGTTGCCCTGCTGGTCAAACTAGCCCAAACTGCAAACCCATCATATTTGCTCGCTCCGATTAAATATAGCTTCGGCTTCCTGGGGCCATCGGATTTCGGCAAGCCTGAGGGCTTCGGATTCGGTGTGGAGAATCAACTGCTCTGGTTCTCAGGATTCTACATTTGATGGTATATATATATATATATATCCTGCATTACCTTAAGGACCTCAAACCAAGGTAGCATATTCCTTATCATGGGTGATGCAGGATTTATATCATCGGGGTGTAAACAGCAAAACACAAGAAAGCAGAAACCTCAGGGTGTACTACAGTAGCTTTTGCAGTCGGGCATCCCAAGGCCTCAGGCAACCGACACGAACTCAACCCCTACGGCTGATGATATACATCCTGCATTACATATAAGGAATGTACCATTATTCCCATAGTTTAGGGTCCTTAAGGTAATGCAGGATTTATATCATCAACAGTATAATCCTGTATTCCCATGCCCCAAAGACACGGCACATCACGTGACGCCGTATCGTCAGGAGAGCCTTTTCAACCCATACTGGGGCCGTCAGCGGAGCCTGAAACCCCGAACCCCAAATCCTAAAACCCCAAGCCCATGAAACCAACACCCAGTGAAGAATTACTAAGCGCCCCTGAGCCCTTTTGCAGCCGGGCCTCTTCATTTAGGCACTCTAAACCCGTAGACCCCTGAAGCACCCTAAACCCTATTTAGGGGCCCTAAACCCTATTAAAGCCAACACCAGCCCCCTAACCCTAAACTAAAGCCAACACCAGCCCCCTAAGCCTAAACCTTGCAAACCCTAAAACCCAAGTCCAAACCCCAACAGCCCCCTCAGCCCTACCTATAGTCTCCCGTGTAGTTCCCGTTTTTAATAGCTAAATCAACTCTATATGTAGAGGAATTTATAGGGTAAGCCCAAAAGGAACTACAATGGAGACTATAGGTAAACCCTCCTAAACCCCAAACCGCAGAAGACCCCCAAGCCCTAAACCCTAAACCTTCAGCCCTAAACCCCAAACCCTTAACCCCTACATCCCTAAACCCCTACGATCGAAACGGTTAGGGGCCCTAAACACCATAAGCTCCCATAAACCCTAAAGCCCTAAACCTCAAAAGGGCCCTCCCCTGAGCTCCGCTGCAGGGTCCGGCTCGGAGATGTGGTCCACAGGGCTCGAGGTCTGCCACTCCTCCCAAGGCTTCAAACTGCTTGAGGGTTTAGGGGTTTAGGGCTTCGGCTCTAAAGGGTTTTGGAAAGGGTTTTATGCATAAGGTTCAGGGTTGAGAGTTTATCAGGACTTCGTATTCAAGTTCCTAGGCTTACAAGGTTTTAAAGGGTTCTTTTAAGGCTTTAAAGCTTTTTGGTGCTTTGGGGTTGTTAGCCTTCTTCCTTCGCCGAAGTCTTAAACTTCTGGAGCCGGCTTTGCGGTGTTTTGACCCAACCCACCCAACCCGGCGGTGGTGGTGGTGGTCGTGGTGGTGGTGGTGGTGGTGGTGGTGGTGGTGGTGGTGGTGGTGGGTGGTGGTGGGTGGTGGTGGTGGTGGTGGTGGTGGTTGGTGGTGGTGGTGGCGGCGGCGGCGGTGGCGGTGGTGGTGGCGGTGATTCTGCTGCAGTGATAACATGAGTGAACACGAGGCCGATGATGACTGATGATGACTGTCATTAGGGTGCCGCTTAGGTTAACGGTTATCCAGCTGACTACGTTTTTGATTATGTTGGTGAGACTGCTGTCGGCATCCTTGTGAGATTCGGCAAGACAGGCAAACACCAAAAACGAAAACAGTACAAGGAGCAATAACAACATATCAGCAGCAGTAATTACTGATCAGCAGGCCGAACTTCTTCGTCATTGTCACAATTATCATCACGGCCATGCGCTTATTCAACAATGTCTGCTGGCTGGCCGCCAGGAACACAACCATTGCCACCACCACTAGGGGAAGCGTCATGACTAAACTAAGCCCTTCATCCATCCCGCCCAAATCACCCCACATCGTCACCATCACCGTCGTCAGCATCATCCCCACCGACACTTAGCGAGTGGAATGACGTAGCCGGCCGGGTCCTCCCACATCCTGAGCTCGACTCGAGGAGAAGCTGCAAGCGACAACCGGGCCCTCTGGAGCTTGCGCTCAACACATTCGTCAGAAAAGTAGAAGCACAGGTAGATCGGAATTGAAAGGCTGCAAGGCCAGATGTTAGGGATCGACGGTGACTGCAAAGACTTGGGGCACAAGGCTTTCGACGAGTGGCACGGAGGGTTGCTCCGTGACAAGCTGCTTGAAGTCTTCCATCGGCAGGCGCTTGAAGCCACCGGTGCTAAACTGCACCTGACGTGAGAGACATGTCCTCACGGATACCTGCTTCACACTCTGAACTCGACAAAGTTCTGACTCGAAGCTGCCTTCTGCGTCAGCTTTTTGTTTGTTAATCTCTTGGCTGCGACATCTTCGCTTCGATGTGCGGCTCTCGGATTTGGGATACATGGTATCCGTACGTATTATGTGCGGGTATAACATGGTATAATAATAATTAGGGCTTCTGGAACCCGCTCCCTCGTTACGAAATAAGAAAGTATCCCATCAACTATCTCCGAGCCATGAAGACTTGACGGAAGCTGCAGACAGCGGTAACAAGTATGGAGTGCCTTCGGGCGCGACGTCTCTATAGCATTTCGAACGCGGGACTTCATGTGTAGAAATTCCTGCAAACCCTGTTAGCAGGGCTCCTTGTTGTGTGTTCACAATGATTACTTGTCCGGAACTGGTACCATGCACGCGACTCTGAATGCTAAATCCGCAGGCACATGCGGAGCCCAAACAATTGCAGCCAGAACCGTGATGAACCGTGCACCAAAAAGATGTCAAGCAAGCTTGTAGCCCCAAGCCCGTCTAGGCAAGCACAGCTGATCCGCTGATTCTTGTGATTGGTAGCACGAGAAATCATGTGAGAATGCTAGAGATACTATTGACGTCAGCCTTACTACCGTGCAGCTTTATTCCAGGTCCGGTGTCCCTAAACCCTGAGGGTGAACTCTATCACACCAGCCTTCACCGTGGAGTCCACTTCCCTGATGTCCACGATGGTGGCACCGTAGCTTCCTAAGGCCATGGGTTGGGCGTGTAGATGTGGGTTGTATGTGCAGGTATCGCAAAGCATGGCTAAATGGGGCCGGGGATTTGCCGCACTGGGTCGCGATCCAAATCAAATAAACCAACCAAAACCAACGCCTGAAATCCTGCATACAATCCAGATGAAGTTCTTTGAGGGGCTGCTAACCCAGTTCTCGCCATGAAATTAAGTGCAGTCATAACCCTGGCCACATTTAAATTTAAAAGACTGTTGTTATATGGACAGAACTATCGCTCTCTGCCCCTCTCGCTCTGCCTCTGCCTGGTGCAGCTACAATCGGGCTGCAAGCAACTGTACTGCTGATGGACAAAATCCTGCATGACCCTAAGGACTCTAAACTATGGGAACTATGGTATAGTCCTTATAATGGGTAATGCAGGATTTGTAAATCCTAAACCCTAAACCCCCTATAGATCCCTTAAAGGTACCCATGGTAGATCCATTTAAAGGAAGCCCAGGATTTTGTGCATCTGATGTTGCAAAGTCGGCCGGAAGTCGATCAGCAACAAGTCAGGCCACTAAGTCACTAAGTCTGGGGGAACAGCTGCTACAATTAGCGCATAAGAACTGCTCTTCAGATTGTGAAAGCACTGAATGTGTAGGGAAGCTTCACCTGCTAATGTGTATCACTTCTGAACCTGCTTTCTGCTAATCTTGCGACATATACTGCCAGGATAATGCGCTGATGTGTAGTGTATCGTAGCGGCTAGCAATGCAGATAGCATGATGGATGCTGGGTTAAGACAATCTTGGGACCTGGCCACAAAAACCGGTAAACCGAAATCTTCGCATAGCTTCAACAATCACAATCCCTGTGGTTTCCAAGTATACAAATAGCACCTACTTTGGGGCCTAAAGTCTATAAATGATACCTACTATGGGCTAGTTGAACCACAGGGAATCTGTCCAGCCAAGCTGCTGCCGGCCCACCATTTGCCCGAACCTTCGAAACAGCTACAGCAAGCCCTGTGATAGCTCAGCCATGCGATCCATCCATCCATCCATCCGTCCGTGCTGCCCATAAACTACAACCAGCGGTCGCAAAACTGGATATACTGCTCGAACCCTGAAACTCACGTATCGAGCCTGCCAGGTAGATGTACTGGCCCACCTTCTTGCTGCACGTGTGCTCACAGGAAAGGGAGGTCTAGGGCGACGGATACGGGCCCTAGCCAACAAATTCTCAGTGACTCTGACCCCACATCCCTGCAAACTTCAGCCGGACAGCCGTAATAAACACAAGCTTCACAACAGTAACTGCTCCAACGAAAACCTGCTGAAGCCAGACATGCTGGCACCCTGAAGCAACAAGAGAGAAAAGATTACATCATCCCGAAGCCGTCGGCACGATCCCCGAACCAATCACCCGAACTTACTTACCGACTTCGTTACTCGTTTGACTATGTGCACAATTTAACGGTGCACAAAGATGTGGTTTGAATGGATATCGTGCTGGAGTTTGTCAAGTGCAAGTCAGCAGGCAAGTAGGTATGTATGGGAGTGAGTAAATAAGTATGTATATATTGCAGTGTAGGTAGCTGAGTAATCAGGTAAGTAGGTAAGCAGTTAGTTAGGTAGATCGGTCGGTATGTCTGCAGGTCGCGCATGCATACTATGTATGAAGGTATGCGCATGTGTACTTCTGTATGTATGTTTGCATGTGTATGTATGTATGTATGTATGTATGTATGTATATATATATATATATATATATATATATATATATATAGGGCTCGAATCGCCGCAGCAGCGCGGAACTATCGTTAGCCCCAGTGCCCATGGAGGGCACGCCTTCACCTGGCGCCGCACTTGCGAGGCGGCATGCAGATATTTGTCAAGACCTTGGACGTTGAGGCCAGTGACAAGTTCGACAAAGTCAAGGCTAAGTCCCAAGATAAGGCAGGCATCCCGCCCGACCAGCAGCACCCGATCTTTGCTGGCAAGCAGTTTGAGGGCGGCCGTACTCTTTCGGATGACAACCTCCAGAAGGAAACGACCCCTGGCGGCATCCAGATCTTTGTCAAGACCCTGATGTTCACCTTGGACGTTGAGGACGAGCAGCACCTGATCTTTGCTGGCAAGCAGTTTGAGGGCGGGCGTATTCTTTCGGATTACAACCTCCAGGTGGAATCGACCCCTCACTTGGCGCCGCACTTGCGAGGCGGCATGCAGATCTTTGTCAAGACCTTGGACGTTGAGGCCAGTGACAAGTTCGACAACGTCAAGGCTAAGTCCCAAGATAAGGCAGGCATCCCGCCCGACCAGCGGCACCTGATATTTGCTGGCAAGCAGTTTGAGGGCGGCCGTACTCTTTCGGATGACAACTTCCAGAAGGAATCGACCCCTGGCGATGGTAAGTACGATCGTGACATGCGGCACTATGAGTTCAAGATTGAAGGCACTAACGTTGCTTATACGACAAAAACGATAGGCGAGCGCCTTGACATCTGGCCCCGCAGCCCGGTAGACCAGGTCCTGGAGTTCTGCGGCATGTCGACGGGTTTGTTGGGCGCTTCGCTTTCGTTAGACTCAGACCTCACACGTGTTGGTGTGTATATACGCGGTCACTGTATGCAGCGGCACGTCTGAGAGGGCACAGTGATGTTTAATTTTCCATTGTGAGGGACCTACCCTGTAGTTGGCCTCCCCTGTTCCCTGGAGGAATAAGCTCGGGGTTCAAGTGTGAATGCGTTGTACATGGCACGCATGTTTCGAGTGGGACGTGGTTTGAATGAAACCACCTTGTGGGGCTTTGAAAGGCTTTGTCTTGTAGTTTGCCTCCCCCGGCCCCCGGAGGAATGCTCAAGATAGTACTGTTTCTCTTCGGTTGCCGGTTGTGAAAGGTTCTACGGTGACAAGTAGAACCTCAATCGAGCCCGGTTGCGTGCGTTAGGTAGCGTTCTTGCTTTCAGTCCGAGTGCCAGGAAATTGTAAATTGTGTATGGCATGTCCCCATCAATGCCGGCAGCGGCTGTCCCTTGATGGCTCTAGTTTTGACTTTTTGAAGAGATGTGCATGGCCGAGACAGCTTTTGTACATGCTGGTTCCATCTTGGCATGCTTCCTCTTCTGCAGATTTCTGCTCCGCTCGGGTTTATTCCGGGCGAGTGCACACTGCTTCAACCCTGAATTCATTGCTAGGCGTGCGTCCTCTGGACCCTGAACGCTACGAAGAAAAAGAATATATATATATATATGCATATATATGTCTGTGTGTGTATGTGTATGTACATGTGTAATTATGTATATGTACATGTGTGCGTATATGTGCATGCGTATGTATATGTATATGTATATGTGCATATGTATGCATGTTGGCCTGCATGTATGCACTTCTGTGCTTTGTTGTGTTCTGTTCTGTTCCCATCGAAACATATCCACACTACATGCTTCGAGGCACACGCCACTTCTCCCAGCCTTCTGAGTCCGCGTCCTCGCATGAGGAGAGAAGAAGGCTTGCAGTCGGAATCGAAAGAACGGCTGACATAGGGCTTGGATTCCAAAGTCTGTAGTGTAGCTGGCATGAAAAAGCTCCACTGCAAGGTTTTTTCTGTGCGGCTAGCGGGTAGAGGGGTGCCAACAGCCCTTGTATTCTGATGATCGACTGTTTCATGAAAGGGCCAGGACAAAAATCCTAACTTGGATCGGAGCTGAGACCCAAAACCTCACACTCTTAACATAGACTACATCGACGCGATCGGAACCCCAAGCGGAACCCGAAGCGAAACCCTAAAGCCCCCTAACTCGGATCGGAATCCCATGGGGTTGGTGCCGGATGACTTACACTGCAGAGCCGCGGCTTCGGGATGCTGCATCAGGTTCGAGGCTGCACGCCGTCTCTAAGTAAAGGATCTAGGGTTCCTTAAAAGGGATCCATAAGGGCTCCCTTTAAAGGGATCTATAAGGGTTCTATAAGGGGTTTATTTAAAGGATCATGGGACTTAGTAACTGGTGTTATAAATAAGGCAACTATACGTATAAGAACTTATAAGCCCACTTAAGGTACTTATAACCTGACTTACTAAGTCCCGTGATCCTCCAAGTATGCTTGGGGTTCTGAGGTCCGGGAGTTGTGGTTGCGGCTTTGGGCGTTCGGATTCCCGGCCTGGGAACCCAGAGACTCCAATATCCCTTAACTAAGGAATATACCGTAAATCATATTCGGGATCCTAGTATAATTTAAGGTATATTCCTTAATTAAGGGATATCGGAGCCCCCTAAACCCTACACCCTATAGATCCCTTAAAGGGACCCTAGGTATTCCTTAAAGAAAGGGATCTTGGAGTCTCTGCGAAATTAGGAGCTCGGCGAGTCAACCCCAGGGGCGAAGAATTCGCTGGGCAAGCCAGGAAACGCTAGCCTATACCCTATAAGTTGGGTACTGCCCCCATACAGTAACAGTCTATAATAGGGCTACTATTAAGGTCCCAATATATCTATATTATTCATATTATCCAACTGTTGCTGAGTGGGGGCAGTACCCAACCTATAAGCATTTAAATCCTACACGTAACACAACTGGCACAGTAAAAACCTAAAGCGACAAATCCTGAAATCCTTAACCTGATCCCCGACCCTATACCTGCAGGTACGGTGATCCGAAATCACAAAGCCAACGGTGCAACGGTTGATGATATAAATCCTGCATGACCCATAATAAGGAATATACCATAATTCCCATAGTTTAGGGTCCTTAGGGTCATGCAGGATTTTGTCCATCAACAGAAGAACTGGTTTATTCGTCTAATTTCTGTACCGTGGCTTCACAGGCTTGCATGCCGAGTAAGCTCCAAGAGAATGGTAGCCATCAGCCCTAAAGGCTTGTACTAGCCAGTCTTTTGGACCCCTGCCATAGGCTGAACATAGCCGCAAAAGCCTCCAATGCTATGGTCCTTCGGCTCAAAACCCCTAAAACAAATAATCCGGAATCTCAGGATAGGGAGCCGTCCTCTAGCATGAGCATTTCCAGCTCTGCCACACTCAATCGACGGAAGCCGCCGTCGACGTAGCGGAGCTTCACGGTGTCATCAGACCTACTGTGGTACTGCAGACTCCAGGTTCGTGAGCTCAGAATCTTTCAGGGCAATGCCCTAAGACTCCAAGTATACAAATTGTACCTACTTTGGGGTCTAAAGTCTATAAATGCTACCTACTTTGGGCTATTTGGAGTCTTAGGGAAAGGAAATCCTTATCAACTAGCAAAGACTCGAATACGCTGCTCTGCTAACCACTGGAGGGGAGGCTTCTTTATCAGGGGCTCCATGTACCTTGCAGCCGATGCCTGTGAAGCTCTCTGATGGTTGTCGAAAGATCGCATAAGGATGAGTTGAAAGTTTTAAGGCTCTCAGTTTACGTATTTGAGGCTTAGGTCTTTAAGCAAGGCTCTACGATTTGGCGTACAGGTTTTCGGATGTAGGGGCATGGCTCACCGGCTCGCGCGATGCAATAGTAAGTAGAATGGGTGAACTTGACATCTGAAATCCTGAGTAATTACCCAAAAATCCCAGAAAAGCTGAGGGGGTATAGGTTCCATGCTCAGGCCCATGGCCTTTGCGTCTACGGCTTAGGGATTGCGCAGTCTCTGGTTCGGGCTGCTACTGATGGTCCCAAGCGACTCTTCAATCCGGTCAAGCGAACCAAGTGTCTGGAGGCAAGGTATGGTGAGACAAACTGATCCCTACTCGTGGGAGCCCAATATGCCTTGTGGCGAAATCTTGAAACAAGAAAGGCGCTTCTTGTTATGATTCAAGGAGCGCCCCATATGCACCCTATTCTCAATGCCCTGGGCTCTGTGGTTGCATGATATGTGGTAGGTTGAGGGCAGGTCGTAGGAGGACAGGTCGGCAGCCACGCAGACAGGTTGGTAAGTTATGCTGATGAGGCTTGACATGATTATGACTATGACCAAGATGAGCGAAAACGCGAGCAATGTGCTTGCATAGCCTTCATGCCGCCCCTCGCATTGCAGCTCTTCAGAGCCGAGGGAGGGTTGAAGTTGCAGGGTCTATCCACCCGGACAGGCCCTCAGCAAAACTTCCGACAAGCGCTGGCTCGCAGCTCTCTTTATGCTGGAACATGGCGGGACCCGCCAAAAACACCCCAAAACCTTGCAAGAAATCTGTCTGAGGCGACGGCTGCCGAAGGTCAACCTCAGTTCGTCGCATTCTCTGTGTCCCCATGGAGGCCATTAGTGAACTGTCAACTTCGCTGCATGCTGCCTCCCACCCCTAGCTTTCCTCAGGTGTCCATCTTCCCTAAACCCCTCTTGCAACTGGCTTGCAACGTCACGCCAGGACAGCTGACTCGCTCCTAAACCCCTAAACCCCTGAACCCCTAAACACTAAACCCGATTCAAGGCATCCGCAGCTACAGCTGCGAACGAGGCGCCACGATGGCAACGAAGCGGTCCGACGACCAGCGCCCAGATGTCAGCACCTGCAGCTTCCCAAGGCTTCGGCCACCTAAGTCCCTATCCCTACCTTAACCCTGAAGAACCTACCCTTTTTAAGGTTCCTTCTTATGATTTCTTATATAAGTCCTTTAAAAAGGTAGGTTATTCCGGGCTAAGGCAAACCCTACAGCAGGTTTTCTGGAAGCACGGGGCCTACTTCTGAACCCTAAGATACCCTAAGTGCATGATACAAACCTGCAAAAAACTCAGGAAGCCTACGCTGAAGACGCTCAAAGCAACAAGCAAAACGCCCCTGAAAGCCCGACATTTACAGTGGTCGGGTTTAAAAATGTTAAACCCGACCACTGTAGCAGCCATGTCACCAAGCGCTGACCTATGTGGAAGTCCTGGACGCCGGCTGCAAGGAAAACTTGTATGTCCAGGCTTTCTGAGGTTCCGACATGGCTTTTGTATTTATTGTGGGGTTTAAGCTTTGCGCGCTCACAACTCGCGCAAGCCAGAGAATAAAGTTTATCGCTTCATGATTCCAACAGTTTGGTATTGGGGCTTTCTTCCCTCTCGCATGCCAAGGCTTTTGGTTCCAGGGTCGGGGCTTGACAGGCCGTCAGAAAATGCAACAAAAAAAGCAGCAACACCAATCATAACGTCAGCTTGGCCCAATAGATGGTGTAGAGTCCATGGCCAGCGATCGAAAGCAAGGCTTGGCACGGAATCGGCACAGCAAACATAAGACTACAAGTGCTGGGAAATGTGGCAACATCGCAGTACTGAGTATGTCTCAGCCCATGGAAACCGCGTCCCATGAACAAGAATACAATGAGGTTGCGGCCGCTACTGTGGCTTTGGATGAAGTTGGCTAGCTAATTTGATGCGAGCTGCTGACCATGTTGACTCTGTAAATACTCTATACCACAGACTTGCCTGCAGTGAACTCAGGTTTTGCATTCCGTCGCGATCAAGCCGGCTTGGGTTTTAACATGCACCGCCGCACATTCCTCACCACACCCATGGCCCGCACCTTGGGCATAGCCAAACCCTACACACCCATTTACCAGAAAACAGTTCTATACAGCGGCTTACGCGGAAACCCTCCCCTAACTCCAACCCGGAACAACCACGACACACCTGCTGGACGGGCAGTGCTTTTATATAGACTTTCTAAGGACCCTACAAGGCAGCTGTCGGCAGCTCAAAGTAGAATTTAAGGTATCCACAATGAACCGCTCCGTCAAAGGAGTCCTGCAGTGACTGTGAGTTTTTCGGTCGCTTGGCAATGAGCTGGCAGAGTTCCGAAGCAGTGAAGCGCTTGTAGCCACCATCGAGATACTGCACTTTCCTCGCACAGCTTGCAAACATACTGCACAGATCTGCAAAATCAGGTCTGGCCAACAGAAAGCCAACAAACAAATCCGGGACTTGTCCCTCCCAGATTGAAGACACTTTGGCTGAACCACCAACTGTACCCGGCGGCAAATCTGCTCTTCGCTGAGGTCTCAAATTTAGGAGCACCGAACTGGAAGAGGACAGGTGCAACAAACACCAAGCAGCTATGAGACATTTAGAGTCTGCGTCATCCGCAACGCAATGGCCTCCGGACCGGAGGTACCCAGAGACTCCAATATACCTTAATTAAGGAATATTCCTTAAATTATGGTGGGATCCCTTATATGATTTAAGGTATATTCCTTAATTAAGGGATATTGGAGTCTCTGGGTATGTGCACTCGACCCGAAGCTTAGAAGCCCCAACACAACACAAACACGAGACTTCCGCCCCAGTTACGGTTGAGCATTTGCGATCTAAGAGAGGGGATCGCTTCTACAGGCTGAAACCAAATAAAAACGGATAACGTGCTGCTCGCAGTAAGGCGGCACTGTGTCATCTGACCTCGCAGCAAAGCTAACTGAAACACAAATACGATGTCACCGGATGCCGGACACGCTAATTAGTACTAATCCGCTCCCCCGATTATAAAACCCTCCCCTCCCCACATATTGAAGCGGGATTTCCACTGAGATAGGTTGTAGTATTAGGGGGTCTGGTTTTGCATCTTCGCTTATATATGTCCTAATAAACTAAACAATCAAGCATGTCCCCTGTGTAGCGTTTGTGGTTCATGGTACATAGGACTCGTTTTCGTACCGGATGCAACAATGAACAAAGTAATTAGCTATTCAATTAAGCTCTACCAATGCATAGACTATTGGTTTCGGAGAAGCAGCTGCTAATCAGTTAAGAGCTGCATTATGCTGTTTCGTGTGAGGGCTTTTCCCAGGCAGGCATCTCTAAGACAAGTTCTATGCGCACGTGGCCTGTTCCAGAAACGCACGGCACGCAAAGGACACATTTCCGACTGCTCCACGTCACCCAGACTTTTCCGTTGCTGAGGTCGTGGCTTTCGCACATCCACCTCAAACAGCAAGACTGAAGCTAGACCCTACTTGAGCATTAGATTCCCTATAACTGTTCCCATGATGTTTTTGTTGGCAGGGGTTCTTTTGAGGGTATTTTGAAGGTATATATTAGAAGCGGCCCCCACCCTGTAATAGTGACTATAAGGACTATATTATGGTCCTACAATATTCCTATTATACCACTATTACAGGGTGGGGGCAGCTTCTAATATATGGGCTTCTGGCTAGAACAGCGTTCTGAGTGATGTTCCGGTATGATCCTTTAGTGAGGGACCATAGTGGAAGATCAGACCTCCGTATCGAAGGAAGCCGCTCAAACTCCGATACTACCGACCTGAAGCCATTCAAGACGAGCCATCACGAGCTCCAGGAGCCAACAAAATATCTCTCCTGGATTTACTAGTTTATGGTTGGGATACCATTATATAGTTAGAAAGTTACATGTTTGTTCCCTATTGGGTTTGAGTCTCCATAGGCCATAAAATGTTAAACATGTTATCCAACTATGACAAAGTTCATGTCTAACCTGACTCAGCTCGTAGCCTCAGCAGCCAACCCTCAACCTTAAACCTGAAACCCGGAACTGACTAGTGCTTCGAGCCCGCTGAAGCTTATTTACCATTATGGTTCTCTACAACATAGTAGGGGAAATAAAAACAACTAAACGATCCCAAAGGACAACCCAGTAAACCCTGTGCGTTTTGCCTTGCTTTTGGTGCTCTAGGGATAACTGCTTCTTTGGCTTGTTTTGTATCTTTCTACATTGGACTCTGTGGGGCCGATGCAACTTATTTTATACCCTGAAACTCCATGTGCCAAAATGACGAGTTATTTGTACCAGAACCCATTCAGAGTGTAGTTTTTCGAGATCAACACCATGCTATCGGAAGCGGGAGATGGATTCTATGCTTTCAATACTCACCTGCGGACTGCAGCAGGCGAAGCAACAAAGTCCCATCCTGAATTTCCGTGGAGCAACTGCTTACGAGTTGTGAGTTTAGGGTTTGGCTGGGTAAGGGTATACGGTTTGGCTGGCTGGAGCGGGAGCCCGTGATGAGCGGGCACCAATGGTTTCGGATAGAGTTGGGAGCTCCGGTCCTGTGAAGACAAGGAGGGCCTGATATTGTGTATTATTACTATGATGATGATTGTTATTATGAGTATAAGCCAACTGCCAATTCCTTGCAGACAAGCAGCTACGCGGGCACCCAGCACATGGCCTGTCTCACTCTCTGCGTTCCCACATGGGCTTAGGAGCTTAGGACGAACGGTTAAGGGGAATGGGGCCTGTGGGGTTTCCTGCATAGGGACTGTAGGGCTTCGGGCCTTAGGCATGAAGCTTGCAATACAAACTCCAGGGTTCCTGCTAACTTCGACCAAACTCCAGCACACATGGTTCTGAATAGACTGAGAAGGTCTTAAACGCTCTGAAGGGTCTTGCAAGGCGTCAGCACTTCACGGCCCATATGGCTCCTGAAACCTGAAACACTACAATCCAAGCCCTCAAACTCCTCAACAAATCCAAAGCCGTACACCGTTAAAGCCCTTAACCTCCGAACCTCCCCCCCGGAAGCCCCAAAACCCTTAGCCCTTCAAGCCGTCAGCCCCCAAAAGCCATCTTTGCCCCGAAACCACGCAAACCCTGCAAGCCCTCAAACCCTACACTGTTACTCACTATGACTTAACCCAACGCAGCCTCAACATCGAAACCGTAAACCCTTTCCACTATGTCACTCTACAGCCCCAGCCCCTAGACACAGCCTTCCCATCTCCTCCCTGTGCCATGGAGCTGCAAGACGTCGCCGACTTGCAGCGCAGACACCAGGTTGTCCTTTCCGCTTGGGTCGGGTTTCGGGTTCAGGCTTCGCAAGGATTCCGCTCAGTTAGGGAATATTCCTTAAATCATAGTATAGCAGGGTCCTACTATAATTCGAAGTATATTCCTGAATACCCTTAGAGACTCCTTAAATCATATTAGGGACCCTAGTGTAATTCAATCTATATTCGTGAACTCCCTTCTCGAATCCTTAAATCATATTCCCTGAAATCATATTAGGGACCCTACTATAACTTGACTATACTATAATTCAAAGTAGATTCCTTAATTCCCTTATAGAATCCCGCTCAAGAGTCTTGGGCTTGGGAGCTCCATCTCTTCGGCTCTTGGTTTGGGAGCTCGTGCTCCCACAAATCGGACTCGTCTGGTGCTCTTCTGTTTGGGGCTTGGGGTTTAGGGGTTTAGGGTTTAGGGTTTAGGGGTTAGGGTTTAGGGGTTTAGGGTTTGGGGTTTAAGGGTTAGGGTTTAGGGTTTAGGGTTTATAGGGGTTAGGGTTTAGGGTTTAGGACCATTCCGGGTTTAGGATTTAGGGTTTAGGTCTTCGGCTCAGGGTGTGGTAGGGCGCTGTGGTAACTATAGACTGGGCTGAACCACCATCTTTAATCAGATCGCAAACAAGGGCGGCTTGCGTAGCGTAGGGCACGGGGAACAGCCTTGGAAGCACTGTCGGCTCATAAATCATAGCAGATCATCTACTCTGTTGGCTGGGGCGCAGAGAGCAACTCTCTACCGATTGACTGAACAAAGCAAGAGGGCTAAACACCGTCAAGACTGCAAACAACAACTCGCTCTGTTTTGTGTGCCAACATCGTGGAGGGGCAACGGGGCGAGTCGGGGCGAGCGGCCGAATCCTCTTTCGATCTGGTATACAAATGCAGATATACACTGTAGACAAGTGAACGTGTCCGTGACACTCGTATATATACATACACATGTAAGCATGTATACTGTATACACATGTCTTTATATACACATTAAATAGGAACTGTGTAACTAAACCGTGAAGTCAGCAAACACGCCAGTGCCCTCTCGCCTCCTGGCCGCGGGAGGCAGAACTTCCGCCACCCATCCCATGCGAGACAACAGGGCTTTTTGCAGCTGAAGGGTTCTCTAGTTTTAGGCCGTCAGGTTTGGTGCGAAACCCCGAACTTCAGGGTCATCATGGCTGAAGCTTAAGATAAATCCTAAATTCCTAAACTCTACTTGAAGTGTGTTCGGGGTTGCAGCTTTCAGGGTTGTGCGGTTGGAGTGGCTTCCTGCACCATTTCAGAACAGTAGTTAATCATATCACAGTCACAATCACCATTCTACGAGCATTGTCACTAACAGCACAAAAACGCAAAACGTAATGATAACGGTAAGAACCAATGACTGGGGTTGGTATGAAGTAAATAGTGCTAGGGTCCGGCTCTTGCTTGGCGTCGGTATCCGATGTTGCGCCGGAGTGATAACGGAAGCCAGAATGCGGCGCAAGTAACGGCGGTAAGTATCCACCAAGGGAGAGATGTACCCGCTTAAACGGTTAACTCTACATACATCTGTGCTGGAACATAAACTGCGAAAAATCTTCAAGGTTTTGAGGATGGCCCTTGACTTGTACCCAACGAACGGCCGTTGGCATGAGATGATCCTAACGCGAACAAGCATGCACTATCATAGGCGGCTTAGCCTCCCGATCATAAATTCAGCTGTAAGGATGCTATGCTATGCAATAGCGTCCAAGTAGTCCAGTCTACAAGCCCCAAGCCAAACTGCTATCCGCCGCCGGGACAAGTCCGCCACCGGGTACCCACCCTGTAGTTTTGCATGCGGACGCCAGGCATCTTCCAAAGTCACTGACCCAGGCCTGGGTTAGGGCTTCGGCCAGCACGTTCGTTTGGGCTGACTGCAGGCATTTTTCTCTCCTCTGTTGTTGACAATGCTAAAACAACCATCCATTCATGCACTGTGGCTTCGCCAGCAGACCAGAGCTAGATCTTCCTGCACATCCACCGGAGGCTTCTATTCAGAAACTGAAGATGAACACCAGCTGTTCATGCGAAGCCTCCGGAAGAAGACCGCACAAATGCATGGGCCGGCACATTGTGTACTAGGAACACACGGCA